ATTCCGCTGATATCAAACTCAACAGATATCAACCGACTCTTCGCGACAAATCAGCGGCATGACGCCGTCCTGCTCAGCTAAGCGGATTCAAGAAAACCATTCCCATTTAAATACTCTGGTTGGATAAAATCGTCAAAACGCGACGATTGACGGACTGTCCGCTCACCGCGACGTAGTGTTCAAAGAAACCAAGGCTTTAAATGGACGCACTCGAACTGCGGAAACACATGGGACAGGTATAAAGGTAATAAAAAAAGGGATTTAATCCCTAACTCGAACTGCGGACACGGTCTATGGGTTAAATGGACTATTCTCGTTTATAAGTTTGGTTTTTCAGACGACATTGCTATATATTTTATCAATCAGACACGTGAGAAAAGTTGAAACGTTGATTTTAATATTATATTGATTTTAAAGCAAAAAAGGTTTATTTTTTGTTGTTTTCGTTTCACAACTAGTGAAATAATGAACGTTTTTAAGGTGGCGCAAAATACAACAACTTGGTCTGAGCACAGAATATAAAGACCTCATTTGTTGAAGATTTCATGGCCGAGAAACCAGACGATGAAAGAATTACTCAGTTTTGTGCTTATTTAGTAGATACAATATTATAGGTACTAACTGTATATTTCCACCCAAAATATGGGCATCTAAAACTTCTTCTACTTGTAGAAATACCAACATATTCGAGTCATTTCACTCCAAATTTAGTGCCTGGTATCCCTCTCCACATCCAAATATTAATATTTTTTAAAATTGGTAAGACACCTATATAAGAATCAACTTTGTGTTAAAAGATGAGAAGAGGATTCAGACAAGCGAAGTTTTAAATAAACAAAAATATATTTATTCTAAAATTTTGCAATACTAATCAAATAAATAAGTATGACTTTGTTAAGTGTGTTTCTTACAAATTTGGTAGTATTTTTTCAGTCTAATTTATTGTTTACATATTTCATTATTAAATAAAATTGAATTTCAAATTTTTTTTCTTTACATACGCTACCATTATTTCCCAGACTAGTTTCCGCAGTTCGGGTGTTTTAGATTATACAGACCAGGTCAAACTATTTTGTTTTCGCAGTTCGGATTATAGAACCAGATTATCTTTTCCGCAGTTCAGGTGTACCGCCTTAAATGTGTAAGTTCTAGAAAAGAAAATGCTTTCTGCACATTGTTCGTTGCTGTTATTAATATGGATGTAAAAATATTTATCAATTTTATAGGAATTTTGTAAATTAAATGGTATTTCTGGTTGATACTAGCTAAGACTTTTATATTTAGTGTTCTACTTCTTTTGTATCATGTCAATGTCTTATCCCTTTCTTTAAAAATAGATTTTAAATTATGTGTTAACCAAGACGCTTTTGGCTTTTTAATATATATGCAAGCTGTTAGGAAAGGATAATGTATATCGAGTAATAATAAATATAAGATACTATGCAAAGGAACGTTATATAAATCCTGATTAAACATATTAATACTCGTATCTAGATTACTGAAATCCTTTTATGAAGCAAATTTATCTTCTTCAACTTTTTTATTTGTATTGTCGCCCATAGACACCGTTTTAATCCAGATTTCTAAATCGCGTTTAAATGACTAGTAGTTATTTGCTATGCACCGGCTATGGATTAGATAATCGAGTTTAGTAATCTGACAACACTAGATTTTTATAAATTTCACAAAAAGAGAAGACGAAAACTTCAGATTTGAGTTGAAGAAATGTATGTCAATGGATGATGATAGAAGCCCTATTTTTTTAAATGTAGCAAAACCGTAAACACACCGTAAAACGCAGGGTGAAAAAAGAATGCCAAATGAATTTAAAAAATAATTCTATAGGTAGATGGCAAAACCATTATGTTCATTTTTCGTAATGTTACCCTTAATATACAAACTGCTGTATTTAAAGCTTTTCTTTATGAGTACTTCCCCTATACTTTACATGTTCAAAACTATATGGATATGACATATTTTCAGTATTTAAAAGTGGACAAAATAACAAATATTATATGTATTGCTTACTTATTTTTACCTGTTTCAACATATATCTGGATTTGCCATCTAACTACAGAATTAAACTGTAACGTTAGAATATAAAAAAACCTCTTAAAAATGACAAAATTCTATTTCCGTTTTTTACTTTCCTATCTGTATACAGATATAAGGAAAGTATAGGAATCATGATTTTTTTCGACCTCGAGTTTTCGACGGATTTTTACGTTTTGAGGTCCCCTGAATCCGTTTTGACTATTTTCGCGATGATGTGTGTGTGTGTGTGTGTGTGTGTGTGTGTGTGTGTGTGTGTGTGTGTGTGTGTGTGTGTGTGTGTGTGTGTGTGTGTGTGTGTGTGTGTGTGTGTGTGTGTGTGTGTGTGTGTGTGTGTGTGTGTGTGTGTGTGTGTGTGTGTGTGTGTGTGTGTGTGTGTGTGTGTGTGTGTGTGTGTGTGTGTGTGTGTGTGTGTGTGTGTGTGTGTGTGTGTGTGTGTGTGTGTGTGTGTGTGTGTGTGTGTGTGTGTGTGTGTGTGTGTGTGTGTGTGTGTGTGTGTGTGTGTGTGTGTGTGTGTGTGTGTGTGTGTGTGTGTGTGTGTGTGTGTGTGTGTGTGTGTGTGTGTGTGTGTGTGTGTGTGTGTGTGTGTGTGTGTGTGTGTGTGTGTGTGTGTGTGTGTGTGTGTGTGTGTGTGTGTGTGTGTGTGTGTGTGTGTGTGTGTGTGTGTGTGTGTGTGTGTGTGTGTGTGTGTGTGTGTGTGTGTGTGTGTGTGTGTGTGTGTGTGTGTGTGTGTGTGTGTGTGTGTGTGTGTGTGTGTGTGTGTGTGTGTGTGTGTGTGTGTGTGTGTGTGTGTGTGTGTGTGTGTGTGTGTGTGTGTGTGTGTGTGTGTGTGTGTGTGTGTGTGTGTGTGTGTGTGTGTGTGTGTGTGTGTGTGTGTGTGTGTGTGTGTGTGTGTGTGTGTGTGTGTGTGTGTGTGTGTGTGTGTGTGTGTGTGTGTGTGTGTGTGTGTGTGTGTGTGTGTGTGTGTGTGTGTGTGTGTGTGTGTGTGTGTGTGTGTGTGTGTGTGTGTGTGTGTGTGTGTGTGTGTGTGTGTGTGTGTGTGTGTGTGTGTGTGTGTGTGTGTGTGTGTGTGTGTGTGTGTGTGTGTGTGTGTGTGTGTGTGTGTGTGTGTGTGTGTGTGTGTGTGTGTATAACGCATAACTCATGAACCGATACACAGAAAAACACCAAATTTTAAACTTAAACTTTATTTCAGCGTCCAATGAGCTGATTAGATTTTGGGCAGAGTCGGAACATCTGGGGGGGTACTTTATGGGTGGATCTGTTATTTACGTTTGGAGAAGAAAATTCTTCAAATAAAAGTTACTTCTAATATAATTTTCTATAATTTTTGTTTTATGCAAAATTTTCCTAAAATGGTCCGTATTCGAGAAATTTGACAAAATGTAAAAAAAATAATTTTTTATAAAAATTGTTCAAATAAAAGTTGTTTGTAATATAATTCTCTTTAATTTTTATTCTTTACATAATTTCTCTAAAATGGACCGTATTCGAGATATTTGAGAAAATGTGTAAATTTCGAATTTTGAAGAAAACTCAAAAACGGATAAAGAAAAAAACATTAAATTTTAAACTTAAGGTTTATTTCGGCCTGACGTGAAATGATTAGATTTTGGACATAGTCGGAATATCTGGGGGGGTACTTTATGGGAGGCCACTTTTATATTTTATGGAATATATCTGTTATTAATGTTTGGAGAAAAAAATTGTTCAAATAAAAGTTACTTCTAATATTATTATCTATAATTTTTGTTTTATGTAAAAATTTCCTGAAATGGTCCGTATTCGAGAAATTTGACAAAATGTGCAAAATTCTGATTTTTATGAAAGTTTTTGAAATAAAAGTTGTTTGCGATATCGATCTCTATAATTTTTGTTTATACATGATTTTTATAAAATGGACCGTAATGAAAAAATTGTAGGAAATTTAAATTTTTCAGTATTTTCGTTTTCCATGAATATCTATAGAAAAATGGCGATTAATAATATCTTTATAAAATCTGACTAAGAATGATTTTTATTACGGTGCATAGCTAAAAATGGTACTAAACGCGATTAAACCCTTAATCTGGATTAAACGTGTACGGTGCATACTGGCGTTAATCCTCCGATATTAACGGATTAGAATAAAATCCGATTAAGAATAATTTTTTTTACGGTGCATAGCTAAAAATTGTACTAAACGCGATTAAACCCATAATCTGGATTAAACGTGTACGGTGCATAAAGGCGGTAATCCTCCCATATTTACGTATTAAAATAAAATTGGATTAGAATGATAATTATTACGGTGCATAGCTAAAAATGGTATTAAATGCGATTAAACTGTTAATCTGAATTAAACCTGTGCGGTGCATACGGGCGTAAGCTAACAAAATGTCATTATGGGTTCTGACCTAGACGGAATATTTTATCATTTAGTAATAGGTACCATTGTATCAGTTGTTGGTCTTTAATTATTTTTTTATCATTAAGTATAATTTAATAGTTATTTTTACGGTTTTTTTTTTATTTTACTAACATCCAAAATAACTAGAACCAGAATATTTTAAAATACCATGCATGGGCCTATTTAAAAAGGTGGTATAAATCCAGTAGCCTAAATCTGCTCAAATAATCGATAGTTAGATAAAATAAGTAAGTATCCATTATGACCTAAAATATTAAAAGTTGAAGTCAGAATAATGTAGGGAACCGTAATTTATTTGAATTGCTAATATTGTAAACTTTAAAAAAGTCGAAAAAACATATTGGTTATAACACTAGTGACAACGAAGTCTACTTTCTAAAATAATCATAGCCAAAATTATTATTTTTGCACAAACTTCCTTGAAATATTTACTCGCCATACCAGAGTACTATCACAGACTTCTTTTAGATACTGATATCATCTTTAAAACTATTATCCATTGCTTTGATTAGAATTGAAATTTTTCCACTTCAAAGATTAAAGATAAATTGTGAAATTTAATTGAGTAGCATTAGTTATAATGGGACAAAATGACGTTGAAAACTGTGGAAAAGATACACGAAGCGTTCCAAAACCAGGTAATAATAATAATAATAATAATAATAATAATAATAATAATAATAATAATAATAATAATAATAATAATAATAATAATAATAATGGTTGATATACGTATTTAAAATAAAAAATGTGTTAAGATTTTGTTGTCCCTTAGGTATAGTATGTCTGAATACTTTTATTAAATCTATTTTTGTCGGAGAGATAACAAGGATAATCTTTTTAAGTAAACAATTTTGCTAAGTTATATAAAGAGTTAAAAAGCATTTTGACTGTACAGTTGAATCTGTGCAGATAAATCGTTCTACGGTTAAGCATACACACTTTTAGTTAAAACTGAGCGAATTAGCTCTACAGTCATAGCGCTACAGATTATTTATTTATTTAAGAAACAAACAGGCGTAGCCTAAATACATTTTTCTATTAAAGTAATAACAATATTTATTAAAATAAATATGACAAAGTCATGCTGAGCCACACACACACACGCACACGCACACGCACACACACACAAGTCAGGATTATTCATCAACAAATCCAAAATGAAATTAAAACGCTAGACTGCGAAATTTACCCTATATCTGGTTATCAGTTATATTTATTTAATGAGAGAAAAAACAATTGTATTACAAAAAACACGATATCTGCGAAATATATAGATAGAGAAATATCTCTATCAAATCAACACTTGTCGATGTGTCTCATATTATGTAAAAAGTATTCAGTAACGATGCTATGAAGCCTTCAAAAATGGAGGACCACTTATCAAGAATACATGCTGACAAAAATAGTAAGCCTTTGTCTTTCTTTCATTCACTTAAAGAAAATTTAGAAAAAGGCCAGTCATAAGATCGATGTTTACGTGATCATCTATGAAAGACGTTAGATAGTTTACGAGCGTTCTATAATATATCTTTACCAATATCGAAGTCGGGGAAACCCCACACAATTGGAGAGCAGCTTATTTTACCAGCTATTGCGGAGGTCATCAGCAATGTATTGCACAACCCAAGAACGCACATGATATTAGTAATGCCTTAGATAAAAGAAACAACAGTTGATGCATTTCATTCATAAAGTATGTTTTGTTTGGTCCCAATTATCGCAAAAGAGAAAGAAGATATTTTATGCGGATCGAAAGAAGACAGAGTGTAATCGAAAATCTCGTCTGGCAACGCTGCTGTTGTACGTAACTAAAAGTCTGTTAATACCAGTGGCGTATCTTATTAAAGATGAAATCATAACTAATTAAAAAAAAAATAATGAAATACTAACCGATATGGTGTGCAATAAACTTTATAATGGTTTAAACTTAAAACCGATTGGATTTGGTATAAGGGTATGAAGTTCAGTGGAATGTAGGAAAAAAGCTTAAAAACACTATTTTTTTCCAAGAGTAATACATTTATTATATATAAAGATGATAAATAAAATAAAAACAAGATAAATAAATCAAGTTTTATTTTAAACAAATTTACGAATTCAATTTTGGGGTTAAAATTGGAACAGTTTTTCAAATTGGTAAATGAGAGATTTATAAATTAAAATTTAGATTTTTAACACTACTAAATTTATAAAAGTTATTAAATCAATAAATTTACCATACTTATAAACAAGGTGGGGATTTTAAATGGAACGCTTCTTATAGCGGATCTGGTAATAAGAATGTTGTAAAATCCGAAAACACGTAGAACTGTACAACAATAAACCTATCCATTTATAGTTTTTAACTTGTAAAACTAGGCAGTAAACTAACTTACTTATTATTATCCATAAATGTGTGCGGCATAGATAAATTATCTTCTGGTTTCTTACTAGAGCTGTCAAAAATACTGATACTGGAATCAGAGCTGTAACAGAGTATTCAGAACTTTTAATGTAAAGGTAAGTATACATTTTGATTAATAATAAGATAGTTCATGAAAATAATCAAAGAAAGAGGCATGTAATATGAGTTTATAAAAATGTTTGTCGTTGTAAAGCACCTACAAAATTTAAAGAACTTACAATATAAAAATTTCTTTGTAATATAAACTACCAACTTTCATCTTAAAGGATAAACACTTAAATGAACATTTTCTAAACATAATTAAGAAAGTTTTTAGTTACCCAAATGAGCTTTCTTGAAACAATGAACTTAGTTTTGGCAGTGCTCCAGGCTTGAGATATTTGCTTTTTGAAGAATATCATTAGAATAAAAATGCTCCTAGCATAATACTCTTTTTTAGATACCTTCATTTTCTTCAAGTCCTACAAGTGAAATATTTCTTGTATGCCTTTCAGTTGGGAATCTAAAAATCAAGCATAAGCCTATTTATTTTACCACTAAAGTGTTTCTATTAATTACAATTTTTTGCGAAATTAATAATGTTGAAAGATCAAAGAAAATAACAGTAATATAAAAGTAGATAATACATGTGATATTACGGCAAAAATCTTTAAATCTACACTATTGAACTATGCAATACATCACCTAACTTACTTATGAAAAGATACTTCAGCACCCACATTTTCCAGTTTTTTGCTCAAAATGCACTCGCGAACCATGTTGTTAGCTATACACAAGCCGAAATTTTTACAAAAAAGTCTAAAGATTAACAAAAAACACCGAATATGCAACAATTTACTGGATCGCAACGTCGCAAACTATCGATGGATAAAATACTATACGTGACGTCCGTGACGTATAGTATGAATGAAACAAAATTATTTTAAATTGCGGGGGTGTCACGTTTAACGCTTTTAAAATCCTTGCATTTATTTGCAGGAATAAAAATGGTGTTTGCCATAGTTTATCTTAGTATTTGCAACGTTGTTATTTAGCAAGCGTATGTATGTAAAAGCGATAGGTACAAAAATGCCCTGCCTAATGGTGTAAAAATAGGTGCTGCTAAAATATCAAGTCTGCTGAAAGCAGTTAAACTAGATAATCTACTTTGTACACATTTTATACGTTTCTTGTTTTGTTACAAGTAATTTTATTTAGAGATTTAATATTAGAAATGTATGAAAATGAATTGGTGAGGACGCTTGATGTGTCGCAATATATCTCGAAACTATTCTAATTAATAAAATTTGTTGCCATTAGTGAGTTATAGGTAAAACCTATTTTTAAATATAAAAGGGATAAACTACACAGCCTGACAACAGCGCACAAGGCAACGCATGTCGAGTGATTGTCATAATCGAATACTCGGATGATTGAAAATCAAATGTATCGAGTATTCGAATCATATCATTCGAATGATATATTATATGCCATTACCGACTGGTAGTTCAAAATCAATGTATCGAACGTTAATATATTGTTGGTTAACTATCCAACGCAGTACACCAAAGTTTAAAACGTTATACCACAGAACAATAATTACTTTTAGAATGGAAACTGCAATGTTAAAATTTGAGACAGTTTTGTAACACCCGGTGAGCGTTCTTTGAACTATTTGGCGGAAGTGGCGCCATCTCGCGGTCACTTTAGTTAACACAAAACGCGGGAACATTCAAAATGGTCCTTCAATATTTAGTTTAAAAGTGGTAGTCAAATTAAGATTTGTTCATACAAACTCCTTTTTTACGTTTATTGTAGCAATAAAATTATATTTGTTACAATAAAGCAAAAAATGAGTAGTATGAACCAATCCTAACTTGACTACAAGTTAAAATATTTTTATAAAAAATTAAAAAGCATGATCAACAAAATTAATTTATTAAAACAAAAAAAAATATACAAAATAGAATAATTAAATGTAGCGTGTTAATTAGCTGGAAAGTTAAGTCATTGTCCACAGAGGTTGAAGAGTTTTATCTAAAACAAAAAATAAATATTAATCAACTTATAAATCAAGAAGGGTACAGGAAGAAAAAAGCAGCTAAGCCTCATTTTTATCAAAATTGAACTGGTCCGCCCTATTTTGTAAAATACCAGTATTAGCAAATGCAAAACAGTGCATTTAAAATTATGTCCAAGGACTTTCCTACTGTTTGTTTGTCATTTTCAGTATTTAGAATAAAAAATTACAACTGTCTGGTAAATTAAGTGGTAAACTACAATATAATCAGGCAACATTTAAACAAAGTAACATCTTTTTGTAATCAATTACCTTAAAGTATCAAAAGTTTGTATTTGTCAGTCTAAATTAAATTTGGTTTTCTGAACATTTTGGTAATTGTGACTAGGCCCCTTTTTTTCCTGAACCCTTCAAATCTGTTGGGGAGCACAGAAAGTGAGGCATAAATAAAAAAAAAGTTTGTACTAGAACAAATAAAAATACAGTTAGATCGCTGCGTGCACCAAGAACTTTAAATATATCTTCAAAATGTTTATCACATACTAAATAGTTTTTACAAATTTGTTGTTTTATTGAAAAATGGACTGCGAACACCCAATACTCAAATTTGAAATAAATCGTTATTAGGATTTCAGAGTGTTTACAAAACAATTTGGCATACAACAATACGATATATTACAGCTTTTATAACTAAAAATTACCACAAAAATTTAAAATAAGCTCAATCGTCAGCAAGATCAAGTAAACAAATTGAACATTTAAAACACAATTGAACAAGACCAAGTTGACAATACAATGAACAATTATTTACAAAATACTTACTATTTATTCAGGATCCAGAGAACACCCAAATATAAACAAATAATAATTATTGACAATATGATATTGATAATCACAAAAAATACAGGTAAAATGGCAAATGTCATTCACCGCGAGGTAATCGATAATGGATGCCTGACAATGACAAATGACACTCCCACTCTTTCCACCATCAATTGTAGATTTCTGTAAATTGTTGTGTACAGCGCCATCTAGAATCTGTTCGTTGAAACAAAAATATAGTTTCAGCTCGGGCTATACTAGTTACCGATACCTGCGTTATACGTCAATATTTTTTTTTATAGCGAAAGTAAAAGTTGGAAAGGCTTTTGGTAGGTAGAGAGGGGGTAAACGTCAAACCGCGTCGGACGGCTTCGAGAATTTCGCAGTAATGTTTACCTGCCAGTGTCGTTTCATAGAATAAGTAATTTTAAATTGTTATCGGCGGAACCGGATAATCGCATGTATTTATGGACTATAAATAATTATTAAATATGTATTATAATATTCAAATCATAATTTTACAAAATTTCAACAGCTATTCACAATTTATTAAACTATTTACTCTAAATTGTTTACTTTTACTTCTGCTATATCATGCAACCGTTTTGGTTTACGGTGCTGACGCGCGGTGTGCTGATTGGGTGTTTCTTCGATTTGACAGAGATCTATCCAATCAGAACGCGGTACGATAAAAGCGAAGACGCAAAACAGTTGCATATGTGTATCCTACTTAAGAAAAATTTGTGATTTTGGCGGCCTACTCTACTCCATATTTCAACAAGTTACCAATGTTGAGTTCGGGATGTGGACTCATTTTACTTTTTTCGCTTCATATCTAAGTTCACTAAATTACAATGATTTAGCATGGACTGAAGTTAGTTATGGAGTAAAAAAAGTTCACCTCTCGAACTCAACGCAAGTCCCTCTCGTTCGTTTATTACAATTTCAAACATTTCAAATGATTCGAATGATATTGGTATAATCTAAATTATTCGAATGATGGTAAAAATCGAATAGTCGAATGATTTATCATTCGAATGATTTACCATTCGAATGATCACATCACTACATGATATTATAAAAATAACTTCTTTGAGCAATAACATTGTTCAGAGACGAATAGAAGAGATGAGCCGAGACGTGGAAAAAATTTTATGCAATTTCTTACAGACCAACAGATATGTTTGATATATTAAAGATGAAAATATGTAGCAAGAACAGCTTTTTGCTACATATTTAGAGAATGATACCAGTGGCAAATCGATTTTTCAGGTCATGAAACGTTTTTTACCGACAATGCTATTCCATGAAAGAACATTGTTTCTGTTTAACAAAGTTAATTTGCAGTTTCAGGATGACGATCTTAACTTGATTAAAGCCAAATGAATAATATCGGCATTTGTGGGTAAACGTAAACTCATCCTTTATAAACAAAATTTAAGCAGAACAAAATATTCACAATTTCCGCATTTGTCAAAATTACCAGAAATGCTTCAAGACAATGTTATTTTATCATATAATATTTGAACCTCAGGATGCCAAGATTAAGTCGACAAACATAACGCTCTGTTGGCCCGCGGTGAAGAGACGAAAGTAAGAGAGGGCATAAAGAGAAGAATTTTCGCAAATACAACTTTATTTTATCAATGAATAAATGTCTAAGCGATGTGCGCTTATAATAAACAACGTAACGGTGTAAGCCCTGTTGCCACTTTCAACTTACCATTACTAGGTTTTGGAATTTATTGAATATAATTACATTTAATTTAGTGAAATTATATCTATTTTCGTTAAATTTGATATAACTAATAATTTAAATTTTTTTGGGTTCAATTGCAATAAAATAGATTAAATTATTTTAGCTTTTTTAATGTATATAAATAGTTTTGTAAACAAAACGAGAATAATGAAATAGGCATATGACAACAGCGGATATTATACCCTCCTATGTCCCTTAGAAAATGTCTTATTCAGGACCGCACGATATTTGTTAGTAGTTACATCTCCTATTCTCTCTGTGTACTACATTTAGATAGAAAGCTTAATTTTGACAATACATTTTTTGAAAGTAATTCTAGCATTAAACTTAAAAACTGTCTTTGAAATGGAATCAAAAAATTTGGAGGAGTGATAGCAATAAAAAATTATAAAAAGTTCCTAGGAGCAAATACATACATAAAGGGTGCTTACAGGATGTCACTTTTAGATTTTTGAAAATTTCATTTTCTCGAAAACCTCCAATTCATTTGCAAGAGAAGTTTAGTAATAATAAGTAGGTACCTATGTAGTTTTTAAAATGTATCCACGATGTATAAAATATCGCACAATTACCACCCTTCCCGATTTAGTTACTATTAATTTTTCGATATTAGTAGATGATTTATGAAGGTAACACTTAAATTTTTTAAATACCCAATGTTTTTCTTATTACTTATTATGCTCATTTAGTACCTTTTTTTCTAGTTTCGTGAGGCCTCGAAGTTTTTTACACCATTTCAAAGACAAACTCTATTATCTGCATATCTTTATAAATGGTTTTATTTTTATCTTGTAGCTTTGAATATTTTTTAATACGTTTTTTCCATTTTAGATGGTTTGGGCGTCAGACATGTTCAGTATTTACTTATGTTTAGCGGAGCTATAGTTGTCTATGGAATGCGAACTGTTTTAATGGTTGGAATTGTTGCAATGATCGAGAAACATGATGACAGCAAAAGTTATCCAGTATGAAACAGTATAAACTTCCTGTATAAAATAGTAATAGTTATTTGAAACCGGGACCGTAAACACAGAACAAAATCTTGTCTGGTAGTCTGTGCGTGCGAACGAAAGCCCTGTTGGACATATGGTTTTCAAAATTTAAGATTTAACTTTAAAATATTTCGTTCAAAATCAAATTTTTTCTTGTTTCTTTTATGCGAGATCGGTTAGAAATAAAAATCAAAAAATTTGTGGTGAAACTATATTAACACAGATTTATATTTATTTAAAATATTTTGTTCCATATTGACATGAAAGTAATTTTTGATTAGTCCAGTCATGTTCTTATTTCTTAAGTTTTTCTTTCTCGTATTTAAGTATTTTATGACCTCCAGTTTTACCAAGAATATTCGAATAAATAAGTCAGTCTTCGAAACATCCCTATGAGACGTCTATGAACGTCATCACGGAATGATGAAAAAGCACCTAAAGACGACGATTCTGATAAATGGACCAGCCTAATAAATGACGGATCCACCGTTTCATGCTTTGGTTGTGACCAATTTTTATTTGAAAGATCAAAATTCATCAAGCTTTTTCAATGCTCAGAGAGCTATGACAATACAGTCAACTAAATACTCTAAAATTCCAGCACTTCTTGCCAATCCCTTTAAAAGAAATGATTATTTTTCGTCTGTTTATAAAGAAAATAATCAGTCGTGTTTAGAATTAATTTTCTTATACCGTACCAATACTTTTAATTCAAACTTCAAATTTTGAAGCAATTGATTTAAATATTTTGAACAATCATCAACAATATAAAATCCAGTAACCGTGGTTGTAATGTTGAATGAAATGTTAAAAATGTGTCTCCCTATGATTGAAATATACATTCTTCATATTATAAACTTATGTTTAGAAACATAAAAACATATTTTTTCCCGCTCAAAGGAAAAAAGGAGTAGTGCTAGCTTTACCCAAAAAAACCAGCCCAGCCTCTGCACAAAAACTGCGACCAATAAGCTCGTTGCCTCTGTTGTTTAAAGTTTTAGAACGAGCTGCAACTGGGCGTTCAGAAAGGATAAAGCATATTGTAACTGCACTTGCAAATTAAATTGAACATTTTTAATAGTATCGACATAAAAGCGCATAAACTTTCAATCATAAGTTACTAGTTGCAAAGTTTTCTTATTTTGAGTTTGATAAGTTGTCACTAAATTTCATCAAAACCTACTTAAAAAATAGATCTCAAGCTGTAGCATTCGACAATCAATACTCTACGACTTCACTAACTAAATCCTACAAGGATTAGTGCTTTGCCTATTATTGTTTCATTTATACGCGTCAGATTTTTTTAAAGTTACTCTAATGTACAGTTTTTTGGCGATGGTACCAAACTATTTCACAATTTTTCTTTAAACAACTGTGTAAATGCTGTATCTCAGATAAATTAAGTTTTGAACAATTTTTACAACTATTTCACTAAACTCAGTTTACACATAAATGCTTCTAAATTGAAAGCTTTTGTCTTTTCTAATAAATAGATGCTGTATACTCAGTTTAGCTAACAGGAGTTTAATTTTTAATTGGTTATATTCAAAGTACAAATGTTATTTTTAAACTATGTTTAACAATAACGAGTTTCGCAGATTAAACTAAGATTATATTTTAACTGCCTATTGTACAACTCAACCTAAGTTTGTTAAAACAAATGCAGTCTTAAAAATCTAGGAAAATGTTATTCCTATCGTCAGCGAGACCAAAACTTTGATGAAGACCTCAACATATGGGTCACGTATTACAACAAAGCAAGCATTTGCCCTTCGTCTCCTATATGTAAATAAGTATAGCTTACTAACAAATATATCAATAAAACAGAAACTTTGTGGAAGTGTGGTCTTATCTAGAATGATTTACTGTATCAAATTATCCCTGCTTAACAGCTGTCATTTGCAGTAGTCTTCATATTTTACAAAATACAAATTACAGTTTCGTTAGTAACTTAAGAAAATACGACCATACTTCTAAATAATTCATTAATATACTTAAATGTAAAAATGCTTTTCTTTATTTCTTTTGTTCATCTTAATATATTGACTGGATCAACAGCAATTAGCTCATATTTAGGACGTCCCTCCGTAATGATAATAATTTAACAATAATATAACACTATCTACACCAGCTCATCGTACAGCTATTTTCACTAGTTCTTTTTATATAATGCGGATTTTCTATATAATTCTCTAAAGAAGCCATTGAAATAATAGCTACTATATATCGGGTCGGTGGTGTAGCGGTCTAACGGGCTTATATTCATTTATAAGCAAGTTTATGTGTCAGAGACTGCTGGACTTCGAATCCCAGACCAGACCATGTGGATTTTTAATTAAATTGCATGGTTCGGTGTAGGATTTGATGTGTGCCGTAATAATAGAAATTCAATTTCTGTTGATATGACATGCAGATTATAAAAAATCGCCATACATTACCGTCTCGATGATGGTGGGTGAGGTTTTCCGGGTTTTCCTCACCTGTAAGTCAAATGGCACCATCAATTATCTTTAAGGCGCCCCGGAGCGCCACGGCAAATAATAATAATAAGTTCTTGATATTTGACAACTTCCATAATTCTTTAAACCCACTTTATTAGTTATGAGCTCATTCGTTTTTACCTCTCTATTTTAGACCATACCTGATGATGAGGATCTGATCTCCTCGAAACCGGTCGTATTAAATTACGCTTGTGAGATCTTAAGGACCACCCTTGTTTTATTTACCTCTTTTTTGAACATATAACTCACACATGGCTACTACCTTCAACTTTATACCTTCAACTTTAAAATAATAATAATAACCGTCCCTTTCCCTGCACAAGCTCAGCTTTTGGGGTTAAAATTCACTCGTAAGGGGGTGAATTAGGGAGAGTATTATTATTATTATTATTACTACATTCATTTAAAATTAAATTAATGCATTTTAATTTACATCTAGTGCAGGGCATAGTGGCGCATTCGTTTGCAAAATTGTTTTAATTCGTAGTTTTTTTTTAAATGTCTGGAAATCTTTCCTGATTATAAAAGTGTAAGATGACACTCGATATCTGTTGATTTTATTGTTTAAACAACGAAAAATTAATTAAGCCAGAAAAAATGCATTTTTTGCAATGATTTGTTTTTTTTATATTTTTTAGGATATTTCGAATAAAAAAAGTCCTTACGCCCATCATATCTTTAACCCTTTAATTGTTATGAATGCTTTAAAATCCGAAATTGACGAAAATTCTAATTTTCTTGAATTAAATAATATACCTTAAAATATAAAATGCTATAATTTTAAATTTTTTACCGAATAATCAAACTATAATAAACAAAATAACCTAAATAAATTTTAAAAATTTTGTTTGTTGTTATGTTTTTTTTTACATAATAACAATATGCTTCCTACGCGCGTGTACTTTTAGAGAGAAGTACTTCTATCTCACTTCCAACTCAATGTATAAGATGGGTAAGAGAAAACCCGATGACGCGCTGAATCAATTTTTTGATGTTTTTCAGAGGTAATAAGTTTAAAAAAAATATTATTAACATTTTTCATAACACTTTGTTATATTTGCCGATTAATAGTTTTGTATCATGTGATTTTTTTTACTTTTTTAGATACTTTTGATAACTTTTTTATTTATTAAAGTTAACAGAAACATTTATTTTTATTCATGAAAAAATTATTGTCAGATACTGCCTGAGAAGTAAAATCTTCTTCAACCTTTTTTTTTTCAATACGATAAAAAGGCCAAATGCACTTGTCGTGATCTTTAGATTTCTCTGGTTTTGGTTATGTTTTCTGTGATAACCAAATAAAGCCACTGTATTTAACAAAACCGCCATTACCTGAAGACTTAGCAAAACCGTGCAACTGTAAAAAAATTGTGCAACGAAAGCTTGTTCGTGTCAAAAATTAAACATGACGTGTGTGGCATTATGCGGATGTTTAATTGAATGTTGCCAAAATCAATTTCATGTAAAAACTAGTTAGATGTACAAACTATAATTTTGTGTAAAAATTTTCTTAATAAATGAATATTACTATTAAATAATCATAGTGGAAAAGAATTAAGAACCATAGAAAAAATTGAATACATATACAGGGTTGGCCAAACCTCTGTCGTAGTTCTATAACTCCTATTATGCAAATCTTAACGATTTATTCGATGTATACCTGTCAATGGTGGTCAAAACCAAATTCTAACGTCAAATTCGAGAGAGCACTGCATATTTTAATAGGCGTCTGAAAATGTAATATTTTTTGGTATTTCTTCTTTTTCTGCGAAAGGGGTAGGATGTTAGAAACAATATTTTGTGGGTATGCACTAGTGACCATAGAGTACCTAAAATTGGAAAAAAAGTTGGGTCATTCCATTTAAAAAAAATTAAGTGATTTGCCTAATTTACTATTGGGCCACCCTGTACACAAGAAAATAATTTTGGGATATTTGGTATTGGCCACCATTGACAGGTACACATCAAATAAATCGTTAAGATTTGCATAGTAGGAGTTATAGATAGAACTACGACAGAGGTTTGGCCAACCCTGTATATTGCGTGTCTGTTTTAAAATAAAAACCAGGTGAGTCAACTATGCTCATCGTAACAGGTAGAAATGAGTAAAAATTAATTCTTAGACAGCTCTTGGCAAAGATTTTTTTTTGTGGATGGAACATTTCTTCGAAAGTATCTAAAAAGTAAAAAAAATCACATGATACAAAACTATTAATCGGCAAATATAACAAAGTGTTACCGCTGAAAAACAGCAAAAAATTGATTTAGCGCGTCATCGGGCTTTCTCTTACCCATCTTATACATTGAGTTGGAAGTGAGATAGAAGTACTTCTCTCTAAAAGTTCACGCGCGTAGGAAACATATTGTTATAACGTAAAAAAAACATAACAAACAAAATTTTGAAAATTTATTTAGGTTATTTTGTTTATTATAGTTTGAATATTCGGTAAAAAATTTAAAATTATAGCATTTTAAATTTTAAGGTATATTATTTAATTCAAGAAAAGTAGAATTTTCGTCAATTTCGGATTTTAAAACATTCATAACAATTAAAGGGTTAAAGATACGATGATGGGCGTAAGGACTTTTTTTATTCGAAATATCCTAAAAAATATAAAAAAAATTAATTCATTGCAAAAATGCATTTTTTCTGGCTTAATTAATTTTTCGTTGTTTAAACAATAACATCAACAGATATCGATTGTCATCTTACACTTTTATAATCAGGAAAGCCTTCCGGACTTTTAAAAAAAAATTACGAATTAAAACAATTTTGCAAACGAATGCGCCAGTATGCTCTGGTCTAATCAGAACTCTGGAATATCATAAATTTTATTATCAGCATATTTTATAATTTGTGTAATTTATTTTATGATTTCTTAGATTCTTATTTATTTGTTTATTATTATTGTTCCAAACATCTTTCGACTAAGAACCAGAACATACATCGGCTAATTCACCATTTATTAGACTGGTGCATTCACAAGTGCTTCGTCAGTGTGTGCCAGTACATTCTAGACCGAATGATTCACTTAGAATGATGGCGATCATAGGAGTCCCATAGGTTTTAAAGGTTGACTTCATCGAATATTCTTGGTAACAGAAAAAATTGTGACCGTAAAAGTTCCAAAGAAGGCAGAAACTTGTCGAAAACGGCTGGAATGATAATATAATAATAAAGTATTATTTATTTTAGACATATCCAGAATGGGTAGACATGAAAAACGTAATACTATCGTCATTTTCTTGGGGCCACATATGGTTTCAAATCATTGCTGGACAATTGGCTAAGAATTACGGACCAAAATATTTTCTAACTGGAGCAATCGCTGTATCAGCACTTTGTATACTCCTAATTCCTTGTTTTGCAGCCGAATTTGGGTATAAAGGTGTGATAGCGTTGCGTGCTATAGAGGGTGCTTGCCAAGGTGTTTTGTTTCCGTCTGTTCACAACTTGTTGAGTAAATGGGCACCGATTTCGGAAAGAGCACAATGGGGTAGTTTTGTGTATGCAGGTACTTAAATTTATTACTCATTTTATAAGTTTTGGAAAATAGTTTTAGTACTCAGTCCTAAATCTATATTCTTTTTTAAACTTGTTTTTAATTTCACGTTTTTCTAGAAAAGGCTATTTACGACCGGTTGGACAGTTGTTTAAACCATAAATGGTTAATATTTTTTGGCCTCATAACAGGAATAAATGTTTAATTAATAATTGATACCACCTTTTAATTTTATAGAAACAAATAATACTTTCTGGTAGACACATTTCTAGAATAATAAAATTGCGTATTTATGGGTCGGTACATTATTCTGTTATTATTATTTCATTATTAAAACGGTCTGCCCTTTTGTTGTACTCAGTATGGTTTAAAAGTATCTAAACAAACAAAAGCTACAGGAGAATTAGGAAGGAAAGTTAAATTATGCGAAATAAGGACAATTGAACTGAGATCTTGATCTATAATATCTTATTCTGTTTCTATACTGAATTAACATTTTTTTTTAAATATGTCTATCTATGAGTCCATAAGACCATTACCTATTTGTCTGGTGTTGTGTCCTACAATCTTTCATTTTAGTTGATCTACTTTTTTTGTAACATTTTTTAAAATGCAATAATTAATTTTTGAATCGTTTCCTAAATTTACAAATGAAGCATGATAGACTTTTTGAATATGTCGCATCATTTCCAACCCTCCTTCTTGTAATCTAACTCCAGAATGCAGACTTCTTGTAATTTAACTTCAGAGGCCTCTCTCCAATTAGCATTCAGCAATTTTTACTATGAATTTACTATCATGAGGTTTTTTGAAATTTGTTTAAATATCTTCAATCTTCTTTAACCCTTTATCAGTGTACAAACTTCTTGTAGACAGACTATTGCAGATGCTTCTTAATGCCAGAGTACCTGTAGGCGACCGGCTATCCAAGTTTTTCATTTTGAATTTAGACTATTGCAGTAAAGTAAACAAGTTGTTAAATCAAATATATCTTGTCAGATGAATTATGGAGTAGTTAATGAAATCATTTAAGGAGGTTCTTTCGCCACACCTCTCGCCTCAAATGTTAAAAAAAAAGTTATTAGATTATGACTAAAATTAATTTTTTTCTAATAGTTGAAGTCCTTATTTATCTAATACTGAACTTTTAACTATACCTTACCTTGCAAATTTTTGAGAATTTTTTTTAAAATGTGAGTATTTGTACAGTGCCTCACGAGAAAGTAAGTCCTCAACAACAATTCTCGAATTATACTTATATATTGATTAGATGGAAGAGAAAAAACTAAAAATAAGGTTTTTGAAATATTTAGATTTTGTTTTATACAATAAAATATATATAGTAAACCGTGGAACTTATTGAGAAATTAATATTAAAAAATCACAAAAAATTTTCAAGTAACCTAGTTGAAATTTTTTTGTGATTTTTTAATAATAATTTCTCAATAAATTCCACGGTAACCTATATATTTTATTGTAAAAAACAAAACCTAAATATTTCAAAAACCTTATTTTTAGTTTTTTTCTACCCCATCTAATCAATAAATAATAGTAAAATTAATTATAATTCGAAAATTGTTGTTGAAGTCTTACTTTCTCATAAGACACTGTACAAACACACACATTTAAAAAAAAATTTTCTCAAAAATTTGCACGGTAAGGTATAGTTAAAAGTTCACTATTAGATAAATAAGGACATCTACTATTAGAAAAAAATTAATTTTAGTCATAATCTAATATTTTTTATTTAACATTGGTGGCGAAAGGACCTCCTTAAACAAATGTAATATTTCAAGAATTTACAAAACAAGGTCGAGCTGTTTCGATTAGAGTTATTATTTATTGATGTTTTTTATAAATAGATTTTAATTTAATTTTTTAGGTCAAGTCTTGGGAAACTGCTTGGCCATGCCAATTACAGGTTTAATATCAGCAACCGATTCTGGATGGCCCACTGCATTTTATTTTTACGGATCTTGTTCTTTATTTTGGACATTGATGTGGTTTATATTTGGTTCGAATAGACCAGATGAACATCCTAGGATATCGGCCGCTGAAAAGGAATGGCTTAAATCTCTGACAGTAGAGAAAAAGATAGAAGTAAATAAAATATTATAAAAAAATGTGATTTGAAAGAGATTAAGAAATTAGTTATTTTTATATCTCAGATATCTAGAATCTCATAAATTCTAAACTTCTGGCTTTTCTTACTTAATTTTGGAATCATATTTCCGGGCAAACCCCATATTCTAGCTTTATTATTAACAAAGCTTTTAATAAAGCTAATTACCAAACATTTTAAAGAACATTACAATAACTTCAGCAGATGGCACGGCTGTGCTACGTGCCAGATATCCAGATATAACGTATGTTCCATAAGTTCTGGCACAAATTTCAGAGACCAAAAAAGTGATGATAAGAAAAAGACAACAGGTTGCTATAAAAATAAAAGTTTTTTTGTCACCTTGACTCTACTTTGACAGTTCAGTTGTTAAAGCGGTTTAGTTGATATGGATTACAAGAGGCGTGCGGTCCATGGAAGCGGGGGAAGCACCGCTTCCCTACACTTTGAAATTAAAAAATAAATATTTTTAAGTTTACAATGCATAGAAATTAATATTAAATTAGGTACTATATTTTCTCTGAAACATTACGTAAACTTCGTAAATGTACTAACAATTCATTGGTGTGTAAACGCACGCACCACCCATAAGAAAATTAATTGTTAACGTACACACGAGCCCGTCGGCGGAAGCGCGTCTTGAAATAACCAGTTCATCTTGCAAGTTATTTCGCTTAGTGATATTGACCCTGCTTTGCAGCGACAGTGTCAGTCTGTTTGCACATGTGAAATACGGTCGAGAGGCAGCAATTATTACGTCTCCTTACGCATATTTATCTTAGATTTTAGGTAGATTTCGGTTTGTTTTTTGTAGTTGTTTTTCTTTTTGTAAAATGGAGAAACTATGCACTGTGCCTGTGAACAATAATAATGTGGTAAATTGTGTCTGTATTGTGTGCTCTTTATTGAAAAAAGGATTTTCAAGTAGAAATTTTGAAGAGAAAACGGACATTAATAATTCTAATAGACTAAAGAATCCTATCAATTTAGAGACGAAAGTAGAATAATCAGCAAAGAAATTAACCAGGCATTTTCACGTAGGGTTCTATGAAAAGTATGAATGGTTAACCGGCTGCAAAATTTTAAAGAAATTGTTTTGCTGGCCTTGCCTACTTTTTAATATAGTCGAAAAAACACACTGGAACTTAGTCTGTATTACAGACTTGAATAATTTTCACAAAAGTGTAAAACGACATGTAAATAGCAAATCCCATATAAGTGCTACAATTAAAGAAAAAACATTCGGGACCTATTGCATTGAACATAGTTTGGACAACCATTTAAAAATAAGCAACAAAATTCACAATCAAAGGGTAAAAAAAATAGGGACGTCTTACAACGATTAATAGATGTAACTTGTTTCCTGGGAGAGCATGAACTAAATTTTAGGGGCCACAATGAAGCAAGTGGATCCGCCAATCGAGGAAATTACATGGACCTTCTAAGTTTTTTAGCAAAATACGATGATACCCTAAAAAATCATTTTATTGATTCGACGACTTTCCGAGGTACCTCAAACAGAATCCAAAATTATTTAATTAAATGCACTGCCGACGTTGTGATGGATCACATTAAAAGTGAAATTAAAAAAGCACCTTTCGTATCAACTACGCTTGATGAAACCACAGATGTAGCAAACTTAAGTCAATTATCCATTGTTGTGCGATATGTATTGGATGGCATTCCTCAAGAGCGATTCTTGGGATTTTTGAACGTCACTAGCGAACGAACTGCAGATGCATCGTTTAAAATTGTTTGTAACATTATTTCAAGTTTAGAATGTGGTTCTAACCTTGTTGTCCAGAGCTACGATTGTGCTGCCGTAATGGCTGGCCATTTAGGAGGCCTTCAAGCTAAAGTAAAAAAAAAGTTTAAACATGCAATTTTTGTTCACTGTATAGCACATAGACTTAATTTGGTTTTATCGCGAAGCATGGATTATATTAAAGATTGCAAAGTTTTCTTTTCGACGCTTAGTGGTTTGGCTTCCTTCTTTTCAAAGTCATCGAAAAGAACTCGCGCTTTGGACGTTCACGTTGACAGAAGGTTTCCAAAAGTTGCTCCGATGCGATGGAACTACAATGGACGTTTAGTGCAAACAGTGTTTCAATAACGTGATTCTTTGATAAACTTTTTTCAAGACGTTTGGGATAATAAAGAAATATGGGATGCTGAAACTGTTACTGCTGCTAAAGGGTATTTGCATTGGCTCAAACAAAACTTTGATTTCAATTTTTTGCTCAACATTTTTGCAGAGATTTCCCTTTTACTGACATTTTATTCGACATTTTACAGCCAAAGTCAAATGACATTAGCTTTTGCATTAAACAAATTGATGATATTAAAAATAAAATTAATAAAAACGAGATCAGTTCGAACACTTTTGGAATAAGACTCAAAACATTGGCTTAGAACCTGAAAGAAAGAGAATTAGAATTAAAAATGTCTGCGACAGAGAGACCTCCTATCGTCGATTATACACCGAAATTTTTGATAATATTCTACAACAAATGAACTCTCGATTTCAAAACTTTAACGAATTAAAATTTGTTGAATTGTGAAATTTTAATATTAGTAACTACGATTCATCAAAATTTCCATCGGAAGCTTTTAATTCACTAAAATTAAATGATGGAAATTTTTTCGATATTCCAGCATTAAAGTCCCAGTTAAGTGTTGTTTATGAAACAACTGAAATTAGTGATAAAAAGACGCCCATCAATGTGTTAATTTTTTTTATAACAACTGGTTTAAATAAGTCCATTTGTGAAGCCGTCAAGTTGTGTAAATTAGTACTAACCATCCCAGCCACAAATGCGTCAGTTGAGCGAAGTTTTTCAGCTTTAAAGCGCATTAAAAGTTTTATACGAAATTCAACAAGTGAAGACAGACTCTCTAATTTAGCCCTAATAACCATTGAAAAACAGCTTGTTAAACAGTTATCAGAAAATCCAAAATTTTACGACGATGTTATAGACAAATTTGCAGCCATTGAGGATAGGCGAATAGATCTTAGGTATAAATAAATGTCAACTGATGTGTCAACCGTGCGAAAAATGCTGGAGAAAATAAAAAAAAAACTTGGGTTAAATATTTTTTTTTACGTTTAAATAAACCAAGGAAGCTTTTCAATGGTAAGTTTTTTTTATAGCTTCTAGTACTAAACTAGGTAATAAAGTAATAGTAACACTTCAAAAATCTCAATCTCGAATATCCTTAGTACTAAGGAAAAAAAGCAAGATTTTGACAAAATGGTGAATGTGCCGCGAAAAATTTTCGCCTGCGACGTTGTGCTTACTGGCCTGCTGTATTTTTATACAATCGCTTCCCCTTCGAAAAATGTCACCGCATGCCACTAGATTACAAAACAGAAATTCGAGTTGGTGAAGCCAAGATAATACGCATTTTTGAAAATCAAAATATATCCCGTAGAACTACTTAAGCGAAAAACACGCTTGGTACTTCACTAAAAAAATAGCACGCCAATATAGGACATCTAAAAACACCATATCGCGAGAACTATCTCGAAGTGGCCAAAAATATAGAAAAAGGAGAAAAGCTGCAAAATATACTGTCAACCAGCTAGTCAAAATTCCAATATGCTGCCGTGCATTAGGAAGGACAAACTTTTCCAACAACCGGGTGATCATTATGGATGACGAGAAGTACTTTACACTGAGCAACTTCAAAATGAAAGAAAATGATGGTTTTTACACTTACAATATTGAAGGCGTCTATGATAATGTCAGATATAAACAAAAAGCCAAGTACGCAGGTGTTGCTGTAGTGCGCAATTTCCAACAGAGGCGTATGCAGGCATTATGTGGGTCAAGTAGTAGGTAAAGCTCTTAATAGTCAAAGGTACATTAATAATTATCTTACGAAACTGGTTAATTTTGTTGAAGCAGAACACGCGGGGGATGATACGTTTTAACCAGACTTGCATCCTGTAACTATGCAAGACAAACTCAAAATTGGCTAGCCGACCAAAATGTACCATTTGTTCCGCGAAACGACAGTCCCCTTAACCTTCCATAGGCTTGAACCATAGAACTTTTTTGGGCCCTCTTATCGCGAAAAGTTTACGATGGACGATCGAAAGCCCAAAATGAAGAAGAACTTCGACGCCGAATACACAGAAAGATCCGAGAAATCGATCTGATTACCATCCAAAACCTGATGCTAGGTGTTCACAAAAAGTTGCGCTCTGTGGAAGATAATGGCCCTCTTTATATAATTGAAATTGGCAGTTTTGTTTCTTTTGAACGTTAATTCATATCTATCACAATAAATGTATTTTTTGCCACTTTTTTGTCTCAAAAATTTGTGCCAAAACTTATGGGACATACGTTATGTAGCAGCAGTATAAAAATCTTTAATGAGAAGGCTTTAACAACAATCTATTCAAAACATAATATAATTCAACAACGTCTCTAAAAAGTATATCGACCATATTATGAACAATCATATTGTGCTTGATTAGTGCGTCTGTGCCATAAGTTCAATATTTGGCACATTTAGGGATACAAATTTATTGTTTTACTTCAGGGATATATAGAGACGTCAGCGTGAATAGGGCCATTAATACTTGAAACAAATCTCAGATATAGAAGATATACAAAAAAAATATCAACCAGAACCATGATTTCATAATTTTATTTTTCTATACATATGTGTCTTTTTTACACATTTTCTGTAGAACGAAAAAGTAGGCCATTGAGTTCTACTTCAAATCAATTCTAGTAAGGACACTGAACGGATATGAAATTCACCAATTGCAGTTCATATTTGGGGACTGGGTTACTAATAAATGACAATTATGTCAAACTATGTCAGTATATCCATTTGTAACTGAGATTAAACATTAAAAATGAGTAATTCTTGTAAAGAATCCATAAATAATAACACTCACAATCGTAAATTTAAATAGAACTTCCTAAAACCAACCTAATTATCAGTATTAAAAAATGTTTTTTCTACACCCACATGGATATTACCTTATCTACGCACAGATTACAAAAACGAAAAAGTATGCTATTGCCTTCAACTAAACGAATATATTTCATATTCATTCTACATAGTGAGAATACTGCAAAAAAATGAAATCCAATATTTTTAAAATTTTAGATAACTGACAATTCTGTCAAACTAATTGTCAGTATATTTTTTAATTATTGAAATTAAACATACATTAAAATAGTTATTCTTGTGTAGAAACCATAAATAACAGCATTTCTGTTTTTATTTCGTCTATAATTATAGTGCGGGATCCCAGGCCCATTTTCACCCATGATTACTAACAAGCAGATTTTTGTGAGTAGCTTCATTTTGACGAGACGCCCAACTTTTTTCCTTACTACAATTTTGGTAAACGGTAGCTAACAGGGGTAGCGGGGGTGAAATATGTTAATTTGATGAATTTCAAAAATTTATTACTAACTGAATTTTTCTTTATTAATTGCCAAGATAATTATCTAAATAAACCGAGGAAATATTTGTCCTACAAAGTTTAAGGGTTTATCAAAGAGTCCCCCCTCTCCAATATGTATAATTAACAAGGTCATGAAAAATAATTACTAACCAGCTGACTTTTTTATCTATTGGTTAGTTAATATTAATATAATTGAACACCTACATTGTCCTACAAATTTCGTGGTACGACATCCTGATCCTACGATCAGAAGCTGCCAATGCCACAAGACATTTTTTTTATTAGTAACTGTAGGACCAAAGTATTATGTGATAGATTAGTATGTTTTTCGTGCAAAGAAAACAATGTCCTACAGAAAAACAGGTATGTATTGCTAGTCCTACAAGAATTGTCATTTTCGTTTCCCTATTTGTAACACAGCATAAAGTGACAACATATTTCTAGAAATTAAAATAACTTTATTTTCCAATGTAGGTAAATAAAAAAATTTGGGTTTTTTATATAAACAAAAAAACATTAATCTTCAGATTCATCGGAAAAATCTTCATCATCTTCGTCAACAGCATCAGTCTCATCTGCATCCTCCTTCACTTTGTTCGTTAGTGACGTCTGACTCTGTAATAACATAAAACAATTAATAAATTGCCGAATAATTAATAAATAAATAACAATAATATTAATAGGGTACCCCTTAAGTCAGAAGATAATTATTCGAAAGATGGGCTTTCGGGACCATCAAACCAATAATATTGATATTTATTATCAATTATTGTCCATCCATAAATTTCTGCCAATTTTTCGGTGGCACACCGCATATGTGCATTACACCATACCTACGTTGGAGATAAATACTGTCCTTTTAATTTGTTGCAGCAATTCTTGTTTTGTTGGTGGTAAACTGGAAGGATCATATCACAATATTTGTGTTGATGATGCTTTCAAGCAGATAAATAAGTTTTACAAGAAAGCCAAATATCTCTATTAAATTTTTTTATTTCTCTTTTTTCTCGAAAATTAGGATTTTCACATAAAAAATTACACAAAAAACACTCCATTATTATTTTGCTGCACAAAACACTATTGAAATTATTTTTCGAAAGACAAAACACGAGGTTGACTGAAAACAACTTTACTTGGTTATAGTCGGCATCTGCATGGAATACCTTCCTAGTATACACTAAACAATGCTGAGCGCATGCGTAATAGTGTGATTCAGCTCCAATAGCAAAATGCAGAAAATAATTTTGTAGGACAAATATTTTTTCGGTTTATTTAAATAATTATCTTGAGAATTAACAAAGAAAATTCCAGTTAGTAATAAATTTTTGAGAATCGTTAAATTAACATATTTCACCCCTGCTACCGTAGTTATAAATCACAATCGAGAATTTTCGTAGAGAAAATTGTTGGGCGTCTCATTGAAACGAAGCTATTCACGAAGATTCAGCTTGATAGTAATTATTTTTACATCAAGTATTAGTACTACAACTTTTGAGCATAGGACCAGAATGTCGTACCACGCAATTTGTAGGACAATGTGGGTGTTAAATTATATTAATATTAACTAACCAATAGAAAAAAAATCAGCTGGTTAGTAATTATTTTTCATGACCTTGTTAATTATATATGTTGGAGAGGGGGGACTCTTTGATAAAACCTTAAATTTTGTAGGACAAATATTTCCTCAATTTAGTTAGATAATTATCTTGGGAATTAACAAAGAAAAATTTAGTTAGTAATACATTTTTGAAATTCGTCAAATCAACATATTTCACCCCCGCCACCCCTGTTAGCTACCGTTTACCAAAATTGTTGTAAGGAAAAAAGTTGGTCGTCTCGTCAAAATGCAGCTACTCACAAAAAATCTGCTTGTTAGTAATCATGGGTGAAAATGGGCCTGGGATCCCGGACTGTTATAAATAATTTTTTAATTTAACGCTGTTGCTAGGTACACGCTAAAGTGTACACAAATCAAAAAATTATATACACGCGAAACGTCATATTGCTGTGGTGGGAGGTGTTTGTGTGAATGCGTGTTGTTTGTTTTCATTTACGCCTTGACTAGCAGCTAGCAGTAGTATTTAATAAACCTTAGAAACAAATTTCACATACATGAAACAAGAAAATGAAGCAACCAAATCTCGAAGAAAATTGCAATCCATACCTGGCTACGCCGACCGGCATGGACGTTTCGCGCGTATATAACTTTTTGAATTGCGTACAAGTTAGCGTGTACCTAGACAGTGTGTTAATTTAAATAAAACTATATGAAGTCAATTTAATTACGAGTATTAAAGCAATAAAAATAAAAAAATAGGTGGTCCTGTGCTTAGCGTTCTTGCCTTCCACACTGAAGACTCGAGTTCGATTCTCGGATGGGAAAAAATGAAATAAACTTTTTTTTTTCGTTTATTTTATTTTAAAAATTGTTAAAAGTAATAAATTATTTTAAAATTAGTTATTTTGTCTTAATAACCTAAAATATTTTTTTATTTATAAATTTTCGTTAATGGGTCGTAGAAAAAATATTCTGTACAACTCGGATGGATTATCCGATTGAGCACTCCGCCTACGGCGTCGTGCTCAAATTTTGTCTTCGTGCGATATGGCAATATATCCACTCTTGTTGCACAAACTACTATGTCCTGTTAGCATAGAAGATATACCTTATTGAATTTTCATGCGAAACGTCCAGCATTCAAAACCAGGATGAAAGCTAATTAAAGGATACTGTATGGATATAAACTCCACCAATCATAATATAATATTGAATGTATTATTAAACATTTTTAAAAAAACAATAATTTATTATGAATTTTCATTTTTAGAGACCTCCCACTCCCTGGAAATCTATCTTTACTTCTGTACCATTTCTAGCAGTGATTATTACCCATTGTGGTCAAAATTGGGGATTCTGGACCTTACTTACTGAGATTCCAAGTTTTATGAAATACGTAATGAAATATACAATTACTTCGGTAAGTACCTAACACGTGTAATACAATATTTTTTTTAAGACCAACCAGAAAATATACAAGATCGGAAAGTAGACGTTGGGGATCGGTAAAAGCTTTTACCGGTCCTTGTTTTTCATTTTTCCGATCGCTGTTTGATAATGCAGTCTGCCTTGATTTGGTAACAACGTTCCGATTTATTGCCAAGTGACAGTTCGTTGATTTTTAATTTGTTGTTTATGTCAAACTTTTTTTTGCAAATTTAACAATATGCATTCAGATTTTGAATTATCTGACATGGAAAATGAAAATTTGGTTAGTATATTAATTATCTGATTTTAGTATTTGTTAATCACTTTATTAAATTAAATAAATAATTGAGCTTACATCGAAGTGTCGGTCTTAAAACAATATTGTACGTTACGTGACCTAAAATTAGTGTTAAGCAGATCTCTCCAAGCTTCCAAGTCTCGCCGACGGCTCGCCCTGGAATCTGCTTGTCTCGACCTGCAAAACACTACTTTCTGGTCTTGTAACGTAAATTACTATATAGTAAGGGATTGGTGTTGTACATTTATTTAACTTATTTCCTTTGACTATAGTAGTTTAACGGTAAATTGCTGGGTCTTCTGCGATGATATAAAAAAAATACGGCAACAATTACCACCTTAGATTATAGAAACAACAGATATAATTATTTACCTTTAAACCCGGTCATATATTGCAAAGAAAAGTAGTGCGTAGCCATTTCGTAAAAGAACCGACATGCGTTGCCAGGTGCGCTGTTGCCAGGCTGTGTAGTTTGTCCTTTCATATTTAAAAATAGTTTTTACCTATAACTCACTGATAGCAACAAGTTTTATTAAGTAGAATAGTTTAGAGATATATTGCGGCACATCAAGCGTCCCCACCAATTCACTTTCGAACCTTGTGCAGTGTTTTCCACTCCGACGCATTGTGGGCAGAGCTAATGAAATATTTCCCTAAACATTTCTAATAGGAAGTCTCTAAATAAAATGCCTGTTAAATAACAACTTTGTAGATACTAAGTTAAACTATAACAAACACCATTAATAGGCTTGCAAATAAATACATGGATTTTAAAAGCGTTAAACGTGACATCACAGCAATTTAAAATAACCTTGTTTCATTCTTACTATACGTCACGTATAGTTATATCGATCGATAGTTTGTGATGTTGCCATCGCGTAAATTGTTCCATATTGGTTTTTTGTTGATTTTTAGACTTTTTTGGAAATATTTCGGCCTATAGTTTTAGTGTATAGCTAACAACATGGTTTGCGAGTGCATTTTGTGCAGAAACTGGCTAATGTGAGTGCCAAAGTATCTTTTCATGAGTAAGGAAGGTTATGTGATGTATTGCATTTTTCAGAGGTGTAGGTTTAAAGATTTTTGCCGTAATATCACATGTATTTTCTGCGTTTGTTTATCCACGTCAGACACATCTGTCCTACTACATTTACGTATACTGAATCACGTGATCAAAGATTTACAACATCTCGGATGCATCCGATGTGGATATTCAAACGTTTTACTATTATTTATTTCTTTTGATATTTCAAAGTTAATAATTTCGCAAAAAATTGTTATTAATGGAAACACTTTTTCTCTGTATCTGTAACGTGTGAAGGGTTGGTTACCCTTCCCCCCCCCCCCCCCCCCCGGGAACCTAGGCCTTACTTGGCTCATTGTGCATCCTCCTAAGATATGATAGGCACCTCCTAGCTCGTGAGCCAGCCTACAGATTTAATGTAGTTGACAACGTGCCAAGAGGTGCTTCTCTTATATCGGCTGGTGTTAGCCGATACTAGCCGAACACAAATCTTTTAATAAATGAGTGCGTCAAGCAATCGTAAAGGATATGCTCGATGGTCTCATTTTCTTGTTAGCACCCTCTTTAGAGTGCGGATTCTGACAGCCCCATGACATGGAGATGCTTCCGTACTTGGAAATGACCAGTCAGAATGTCTATGACTAGGCGCAGATTCTGTCTAGTCAGAGTCAAGTATTTGTTTGTTGCAGTGTTACCAAGATAACTTAAGAGCTCCCTGGCAACTCTGCAGTTTCTTGTTTCATCCCATCTTTCCTTGAATTTCACAAAGGAATGTTTTTTAATTAGGTCTGTCACTACCGATTTTGTCAGGTCAATAAAAGGTTCAGGTCCAAAAAGTATTTGGTTGTCTCATACCTTTAACATTAAGCTAAAGAAAAGGTACTTTGCTTAATTGTCGATTAAATGAACCGTTTTCGATAAAAAAACATGATAAAAGAATTAGTTTTATTTTTATTAAAAAGAAATCATGATTATGTACGGTCTTGCATCTTGCAATGCTTATGAAGCAAGAATGTTGTATGAAGAAAGATATCCTAATCGCAATATTTTAAATGAGAAAACATTTTAGCGAATTGACTAACGTCTAAGAGAGACTGGTGGGCGATTCCCAGTTAAAAAGGAAACATTATTGACTTTCTTTAATAATTTTTAGAAAGTTTAATGAAAACAAGTACCGATGCTGGTGTGACAAGAACAGTACATACGGTGCAATTGGAGGAAAATATTTTGGATACTGTAGCTGATACTCCTTCAATAAGCACTCGAAGATTAGCCGCGCAGCTTCATGTATCAAAAACGAAAATTGCTGATGTACTTAAAGAACAGTTGTTATACCCTTAACATCTACAAAAAGTGCATCAACTACTTCCTGAAGATTTTCCTCGAAGAATCCAGTTCGCAAACTGGCTGTTAGATTAGCAACGAACAAACGGAAGCTTTATTAACATTATTCTTTTTACCGATGAAGCAGGGTTTACAAAAAATGGTATTGCAAATTTACATAACTCCCATGTATGGGCTGATGAAAACCCTCATGCCACTGTTGTTCATCATTATCAACATCAGTTCCAATCAACTAATGTTTGGGCAGGAATAATCGGCAATTTTTTAATTGGACCATGATTATTGTGACCACGATTGAATAGTGAACTGTATTTACAGTTCCTTCAGAACGATTTTCTGGTTTCAATAGAGTATTTGCCACTTGAAACCCGCCGAAGCATGTATTTTATGCATGATGGAGCCCCACATCACTTTATCGTCGCTGTACGGGACCACCTGAATAACGTATATAGAAATCGTTAGAGGAGGTCCAATTGCATGGCCTCCACGGTCTCCCGACCTAATGCCAATGGATTTTTACCTGTGGGGTCATCTCAAAACCTTGGTGTATTCCTCTCCGGTTAATACTAGGGAGGAACTTTTACAGAGAATCACATTTCATTGTGATGTGATAAGGAACAATGCTGGGTTGTTGTGGCGAGTACAGCAGTCCTCTATTCATCGGGCCCGCGAGTGTATCAGAGTTTACGGAGCACAGGTTAAACCTACTTATAAAGTTTTTAATTGATTATTTCTGATTAGCGTATCTAGGTTCAATCTTTGCAAGCTTTAGTGAGTTCAGGATAAAAACAAAATACTTCAAGTTATATTTTAGAATTTACCAATTTAAAATTGGCTAATTCTGGGAGTTTAATTTTTTAATAAAAATAAAACATTAATTCTTTTATTATTTTTTTTCTCGAAAACGGTTTCTTTTATCGACAATGAAGAAAAGTACCTTTTCTTTAGCTTAATATTCAAGGTATCAAAATTTATTTTTTTTAACTCCTTATCATACAGGGTGGTAAACTAAACAAACTAATTATGTTTTAATGGCAGTATTTTAAGAGGTTCTTACTACTGTTTATCATATTCAATTTTCTTTAAATTATATTACGTAGTTTGAAAGTTATTCAAGAACAAATGATTTCCAGTGGCGTCCTTTTGGAGGCCGTATCTCCGTAAGGACGGCCACTAGGAAAATAATTTATGGGAACTTCTCATCTTATTTAGACCTCCCACATTTTCCCGGACACCCTGTATATATATGTATATATATATATATATATATATATATATATATATATATATATATATATATACTCTACTAATAAACATACTTATATAAATTTATCCAGCATTTAAAAATAAATTACTTATTAATAATTAAATATCTTTAAAAAATACGTTATTTATTTACCAATTTAGGTACTAATTTGGTTCAAAATTTAGACTACACAACACGACCGTTTCCAGTAAACAGACTGGAGTTTCAAAACACGTCGAAACCTTTTGATGTTACCACTTCCGAGCGGGTCTCGAGAAACAGAACTCCAACTGTCCCAAAACACGCAAGTTTGCAAAAAGTTGCAGTTTTGTGCTTTCGACACGAATTTCTGTTTTGTTCTTGACTTGTTCGTTTAGTGGAAAACCGCCATTAGGGGTACTGAAGTGAGGTAACTTCGTTGTGAAAAAATATAAATGGAAAAATTTATATTAGAGATGAGTGTAGCCAGATATGAGTTATAGGTATAGAGTAAGTAGTGGCGGCTTGTGCATAAGTGCAGTAGAGCTGCCAAACTGCCACATGCAAGTATATAATCTACATTTCACAGAAATTTTTTAAGACATTACTAAATATACGTAAAATAGATTTTATGGATAATCTGATAATTTTAATTTAATTGTAATCATTAAATAGTAAATGGTGTTTGTGCACTGCACCGTTTGGGCTGTCCACGCTCTTCGTCTCCTTTAGTTGTTCTAATAGTTTTGATAAGCATATGCCTGTGAAAGAAGATTAATTAATAAGTTTTGCGAACAGGGAAACTTTGTTGTCAACAGTATTTTGATCAAAAATAAAAAAAGGTGTAACAAATCTACTAAAAAATATTTAAAACCTTTTTTTATTTTTGTTCTAAATACTGTTGAAAAGAAAGTTTCGCTGTTCGCAAACTTGTTAATTAATCTTTTTGACAGGCCTATCAAAACTACTGGAAAAACTAAAGGAAACTGTGAGCGCGGGCTGCCCAAGTGGTGCAGTGCACACACACTATTTGCTATTTAATGATTAAAATTAAATTAATATTTATGAGATTATCCCATAAAATCTATTTTAGGTAGGTATATTTTGGAATGTCTAAAATAATTCCTGTGAAATGTAGATGAGATACAGCCACCACTGAGAGTAGGATTGATAAAACCTTACTCTATGTGTCAAGTATGATCATCCGCTTTTAGTCAAATACATGATAATAATATAACAATACTGTAAGTAGATTAAATCAGTTTCCTTAAAGCCATTAATAAATTCGTTACAATATTCGTTACAATATTTGCATTGACGCATGTTATACATTTTCAAAAAGATTTCATAAACAACAACGAAAGAACGCTTGAGAAATATCCTAATTTTGATCAAATTAAATATCATTACCATAGATATAGAACAAAGAAGATAAATATTAATTATGTTTTCGGCCCGCGCCAAGGTCAGTACATATTTAATAAAATATCAATTTGCATCAGGATCCCATGAACGCAGATAAGACGTGTACATTGGGACGGCAACGAAAATTGCAAATTGGATGCCTACGCCAAATGATAGTGTTCAAAACATTTTAAAAGGCATTTTTTTATGGGACGGACTATAAAAGACGTTTACTAAATGGAGCAGTTCCCACTATATTTCCTGAATTCACTAAATACATGCAGCCGAAGAAGGTGCGTATACTAATAAACATAATTAAACATATATATTTTTTTAATTACTTTTCATTATTATGTTATGAACTTTTAAGAATTTAGCAACCCCTTTGTGTATAATTTAAAACATTACCGTAATAATTGATTGTTTGTAGTATTTAAAACGAAAAGCATTACATTTGGAAGCTGGGCCAGGCCCTTCAAATAGAACTTCAAATAGAACTTCAAATAGAACTTCAAATAAGAAATCTCTCCTAGAAAGCCCTAGCATGAAACGGCTTAGAAAACAATAAAGAAAAAAACAAGACAAATTAAAAGTTCTTAAACAAAAACTTAAAAAATATAAAAAAAGAGTTGTTCCCTAAAACTTTTTGTTATTGTACCAAATTAGTATCAGTAATAAATTTATCTTCATTTATGTATAATTTTTTTTACTAGCTTAATTTAATAATATCCAGATAGCACACTACATCTTAAAGACGTCCAGTTCATGTCTTACTTTTGTCCAAACGTCCTGGTACGTAAAACGGACGGTTTTAAGACGCCCTGCTCAGGAGATGTTTAAAACGTTTTTGTTGGGATGTTTTTAGGACGTTTTAAATATGTCGATAATGTGGACGTTCAACTCTTTTCGCTATAATAAACAGTATTAAATATAATGGATAAGTATTCATTAATTTTTTTAAATGAATTTCCATCAAGTAAATAGACGACTTAAATACATCCAATACGGTTTGTTTTCAAGACGTACAAAACTAGATGATTTAAAGACGTACAAAATTAGACGCCTTGTTTTGTAACAAAGTACGTCCTATAGACGCCTTTAAAACATCTTTTGGATATTAGCGTAGATCTTCAAAACGTCACAAACGTATTTAAGATGTCTTTAAAACGTGTCTGTGCTATCTGGGTAGTGTCATTCTTTATTAAATAAAAATAAATCTTTTTGTTATACATGTAGGTCATTATGTTTTATTTTGCGGAATTTAAAAAAAAACACTCATTATGTAAACGATTTCGTTAAATAATAAATAAACTTATTTCTATATATTTTTTGTCTTATTTATTGTAACTTATTTATTTTAAATTTTACGCTTTGAACTTGCTTTATACCTTAAAAGATCAATTAAGTACTAATAACATAAATACAAGTTCTTTTTTTATTTCCAACATGTTACACCTTTGGTCAAATATCGTTGGTGTCAAAATGGAACAAGATTTTCAGCGACGTTATGAGTTTATTACCTAGTCTAAGGTGGATACATCCGTCGTAATTAGCAGTATTGCTGCCTGAATAAGTCTTAACTTACAGATTTAATGCAGTTGACAACGTCGACAAATGGGTGCTCTTCTTATATCGGCCGTTATTAGCCAATACTCACCGAACACAAATCTTCTAATAAATGAGAGCGTCGAGCAATCGTAGAGGATATCCTCGATGGTCTCATCTTCTTGTTCGCATCTTCTGCAGGGAGCAGGATTTTGACAGCCCCATGATATGAAGATGCTTCCGTATTTGACAATGACCAATCAGAATGCCTGTGACTAGGCGCAGATTCTGCCTAGTCATTGTCAAGTATGTGTATGCTGTAGTGTTGTGAGGATAACTTAAAAGCTCCCTGGCAATTCTGCAAATTCTTGTCTCATTCCAGCTTTCCTTGAATTTCACAAGTGTTCTTTAATTCACTACCGATTTTTTCAGGCCAATAGAAGGGCCAGGTCCAAAAAGTATTTGGTTGGCTGCTTTCTTGGCCAGTAAATCAGCAAGACGGTTACCTTTCGATGTAACGTGACCTTTGATCCATCTTCGACATTCTAGTACTAAACCTGAGTAAATTCGTGATCTGTTTAGGGTGAGTAATGCTTATCTGCTATCTGTATAGATGAGCATGTTTCTTCCAGTAATATTGTTTCTGGTGATTTCTTTTGGCTGCAATGAGAATCCCCGTGAGCTCTGTTTAAACTACACTGGCACTATTGCTCACAGCCCTTTTTATGTTTAGGTTTAAGGATCTGGAGTATATTCCACATCCTGAGTTCTGTCTTGTTTTAGAACCGTCGGTGTAGATATGAATCGTACTTGCCACTTCCGGCTCTTATTTTTGTTCTGTCATAACTTTATATATATATGTTAGAGTTTACGGATAGCTGTCAATGTTTGAGTTTTTGGTACCCAGACAACTGAACCATATTTTAGCATGATAGCCATGATAGGCGTGTAAGTGCATGCGACGACTCTGGGGGATAAACCCCAGGTGCGCCTTACGGTTCGGAGGCATTGTTCATAAGCAATGTATGCTTTTTCCACTCTGTTTTCTAAATGCGAGTTCCATGCTAACTTGCTGTCAAAGGTAAGACCTAGCTACTTCACCCCTGCTGCAAAGTTTAGATTTGTGTTAAGTAGTTCTGGACCATTTCTGTCTTCTTAGGATTGATAGACAATAAATGGTCCTTGCCTTACTCTTCTATAATTTTGAAAGCTACTCGCAAAGTATGTTCTCAAAGTTTCTTGTTTGCAGAATGACCAGCACCATGTCCACGTGACTGGTAAATATTGGTTTTTGGTTCATTTTTCGAGTTCCTCGCTTGGTTGGTGCATTCTCTTCCTGAACAACATAGCTTGACTTTTCTCGTCGTTAATTTTAATCTTCTACTTGGTACACCATTGCTAGACTTTTGCTGCTGCTATTAAAGGTATCTTGATATCATTCTTGGCTGTGGGCTTGTTAATAATCGAGTGACCGCGGCATTTATATATTACGGTGTCATATTTTCGTGCCGTTGCGACTGTAGCTATTACATAAGAAAAATAACAGTTTAAGACCCATTGTTTAAGAAACGCCGTATCTTATTAATAAATACCTACCTAATATATTTTTGTAACTTTTTTAAAATATAAATTAATTTTTTAGGACAGTTTCCTATCTGCTCTTCCATACTTTGTTATGTGGATTATGAATTTAATACTAAGCCCAGTAGCTGATTATATAATTGCTAAAAAACATGTCAGTCTAATTATAAGTAGAAAGATTTTCAATTCCATAGGTAAGTTGATATGGTAAGATATCAAAATAAATTCGAACAATTTTGTTCTTTTTAGAAATTAGACATTCCAACGATTTTTCAAACAATATCTGCCAGTGGGAAAGGAGTTGCGACATATCCTTCCATCTTGGACGCTATTTTTATTTGAAATAGTAGTCGCCAAGTCTGCCAATTTATGAAAAACGTATAGGCGTTCTTTTTTAATAAGTTTTCATTGGGTTCGACATAAAATATTTAAATTTAATCTTTTGTTTATGGTTTAACGTATTGTAGATAGAACGCGTCGTATTTCGTAACCCTTTGGACATACAGAAACTTCCCACCGACAGTTCTACAGTTCTTTTGTTTGGAATATCTAATTTTCCCATTTTCTTTTTTAGGATTTTTTATTCCTGCAATTGCTCTTGTTTCAATTATATTTATTGACAGTGATAACAAAGTGTTGATTGAAACAATTTTGGTAATAACTGTGGCGTTCAATGCTGGACATTACTGTGGTTTTAATATCAACCACATAGATTTATCACCAACGTTTTCTGGGACATTAATGGGCATCACGAACAGTATATCTGCTATTTTTACGATTATGGCACCATTAGCAGTAGATGCAGTTAAATCGTTCTCTGGATATAAAGAGGTATTATATAATTATATATAGAAAATTGTTGTTAACTGGTATAACATTTAAGAATTTTATAAGTAAATATATTTATTGATATAGATAATCCTCCAATCACGTAAGATTTCCTTCGGGTTGCATTCGATTACTCAAATTTTTCTATAATTTAGAAAAGAAAAAATTATAAGATTGATTTTATGATTTATTATTTTGCTCTACTCTTTTCGGATGTCCTCTGCCTACTACAGGGTCTTCTCTCTCTCTCTCTCTCTCTCTCTCCTTCTCTCTCTCTCCTTCTCTCTCTCTCTCTCTCTCTCCTCGCTGTCCTGCTTACTTTGTGCTCTTTTCTCTGCACCCTCTACCTTCCTTCTCCCACTTGGATTCTGCTGTTCTACCATCTGGATTCTGCTACTCTGCCTCTGGTTGTGTCTTATAAATAAGTTTGCTTTACCCTTTTTCTTATATTTTACTTATTTCCCATTTTAAATTAACACTAACATTCGTTGTTTTTTCTTTGGTGACTGGCTTCGAAAACTTAGGTCATTAGCCTCGTGTTCTATGTAGGCTATGGATTGTACTAGTACTCTAATACTCCACAGTGCAATAGTGCTAGTACTCTAACACTCTTGCACCCCTACAGACAGGCCTTGTTAGTGTTTCCCTGCGCCACTTTAGGAACAGCACTGTTAATTAACACCAACATTCAGTCACACTACTTATTTAAAAATCAGACACTTCTGTCTTCTATTTGACAACTTTTTTCCAATTCTCAAAACAATCCATAACAACCCAATTTTTTCCTGAGCTTCACTCAGCCCGAACCGACAAACTATGCATGCTGTTATCCAGGAATTTACCATATCAATATTTATCTATATCTATATGAGGTGAAGTATTTATAAACGTTAATAAATTATCATCTTCTTCTGAATTTCCATAAATATGGATCGTAATAACTGACAATTTTACCAAAGCCAAATAAATCCGTTTAGAATTAGAAACAGTGTCAACAAATCTCGGCTTACTTTAAAAGTAGAAGAAGATGATGTAGAGCCAGTTCGTAAGTACAAATGCTTATGTCATGAGACAGCATCACATGATGAAATATATAAATGAAAGTTTATGTCCAACAGAGAATGTGCAATCGCTAAAAAATATTCAGCTATTCTTGTAGATATAAAAGATAATTTGAACAAAATGCTAGTGGATATACAAGAAACAATTTTATCATTATTATTTTTATTGGTTCTCCCCCTGATCAACTGCAACTGCATCAGGAGGTAGAGAAACACTAACTTGGGTATTTGTCTCCTACGGTATATGGATGGATTGAAGTACATAAAATTAAATTATGTATAAAAAAGAACCTAAGAAGAACGTACAAAAAACAAATTATCTTGATTCTGTCAAGCTGCCTCAAAAGCCATTGATTCGAACAGAATCAAGTCAAAGCTGATCTGGAACTATCTTGAAATACTTAATAATCTGTAAATTCACAATAGAATGAGTACCAGGATACACCAGCAATGAAAAGGCTGATGAAGTCGGCAAGGAGGGACCAGAACTACCATTCCCAGAACCAGTATATTATATGTTACGGATATCAAAACCTGTGCTCAGCAGATAACAGGCGGATAACGATTAAATACCAAACTCACTGACAACAGAAAAGGGGACATAAAATCAGAAAGCTCATGCTAAGAAGCCTAAATCCAGAACCAGAAAGTACTCCAGGAACATATGGTAGGCAACCTAATTAAAGACACATGACTATTCAAATGGAGTACTTGAATACAGAGAAAGAAGAACAATACAGTACACTGAACTATATCTAACCTTACGACAAATATAAGATAAAGATGTCAAGGATAAGAGCACTTTTAGAAATTAATAGCATTTATATTTTTTAGCACCTTATTATTCAGTGTCATCGACTGATTTCTGATTTGATTAGTTGTGTAGTTAAAATTGTACGAAGTATGAAAAATTATTAAGTATTTTTTTCTTTTTTCCAGACTGATAAGGAACTATGGAACATTATTTTCGGAATATCAGCTGGTTTCTATACCGTTGCAGGATGTGCTTTTATTTTAATTGGCTCAGGCGATATCCAGCAGTGGAATTATCCTCATGATGATATTAATGAAAAAATCTGAATAAATTAACTTTGCAAAAATATATTGTTATTTTTATTTAGGTGGCTCGTCCATCTAACTACGAATTCGCCTATAATTTATTTTCAAACTGAAGTAACGAAGTCATTTAATATATTATTCGAAGTTATAAATTTAATATAACCAGTTTAAAAAGTATATCTAATGATGATAATAATAATGATTATTCATAATAGACATTCAAGATACTAAAAAATATATAATAAATTCTAGAAACGGTAAAATGGTGGTTCCCACATTATCGACACGAAGGCCCACAAGGGTAAACTCGTAGCGTAACAAAAACGAGAAAGGATTTAACTTGGAACGAAAGACCGAAAGCCGATAGTAGTATTAGGACGTTGAATTTTTTGTTTTGAGAAGCATTGGCATTACTTAGGTTCACCCATGTGATGATTTTCACAAGCCTTGATTTTTAAAACCATTCTATATCGTCTTTTGATTAGGGTTTAAAAACTTATTCGAGCAATTTATCCAATCCTTTACCTCTTAAACCTGCTCATATAAAATATTTGGGCTCCTTATTTCACCTATTTATATTCTATTAATAAAGGACAGAAGGATGAGTATTGCAACTATTTTAAAAGAAATAAATTGGCTTTCAGTTCAAATTTATGTTCAGTACATGACTGATATTTCTTTATAAAATGACATAGTACCAACGCATCAGATCTATTAGAAAAAATTCAATATAATTCGCAATATCACAACTATAATACAAGAAGCCAATCTGACTTTCTTGTACGGCAAGCGATCACTAAAAGTTCCCAAAATATAATTTTTATTGAAGATTTAAAAAATTTAATACAGAAATTAAAACAAAACAACAATAAATGTATTCAAAAGTAACCTCAAACAATACTTGATAAATAAACAGAACGGATATACTTTCTTGTGATAATACTCTTTAAACCTGCCCTTTTTAAGTATTTCCCTTAACTTATTGTTATTTTATTCCTCGTTTTACTACTTACTATGTTTAAATTATTAATACGATAGTTTTGAGACAGACGATAGGTTATAGCAACTTATAACTACAAAACTATTTTTGTTTTAAAGTAGATCCATAGAGAGCAATGTAATTTACAAAGGCCTTCTTTCAACATACAAATAAATGACAACTTTATAATTAAAATGAAAAACACAACAAAATACGTCAGTATCATAATTGAAATTTATGACTAATTATTATTTACAATTCGCTGGTTGAATATGTAATCCAAAATTGTACAATTAAAATTATCTACAAAAAACAGCATTATATCCTACCTCTCTTTTATATAATAAAAAAGTGCTTTGTATAAGAACATTATATTATCTGTCTTGCTGTACCTTTATTTATGGAAAGTTAATAGAGATACACTACAAATTATTTGCAATAAATATCAAAAGAAGCATACATTTTAAAATAATTTGACATTTAAGAGCCATTCACACATCACAGTTGACATCTTGATACTTGACAGGCACAGCCAAGCATTATTCTGATTTTTGTCAAATAAAATGGCCGGTTAATTATTCTATGGGGTTGCGATAGAGAGCCAGTAAATTTGATGAAGGTGTTTTGAGGCTAGGGACGAAATAGTAGTACGCTTAAGTTAGCATCACCATAAAAAAGTAATTTTTAAGAAACTGCTTATATATTTTTCATAAATTGGCAAACTTGGCGACTAATTTCGAATAAAAAAAGCCTCCAAAATGGCTATAGTTGCAAATTTGAAGGTCGCAACCCGCCTTAGAAATTTCACCTTTACTATCAACAGCTGTTGTTTGACAGGTCGTTAGAGAATGTTTGCAATTTATGGAATGTAAAGAATGTTAGGAACGTTGACGTTAGAAATAATTGGAATTCCTAAAATTGTCACACAAGAAATGCATAGGCGGATTTTAAGAAAATTGATATTAAAGTAGTTAGGATGAACTGAAAATTCTGAAAATCAATAGGGTTATAAGTTAGAAGTAATTATTCAAGAAAATCAAAACCGCAAGTCAATCAGGACTTTCGTTCTACAGTTATTGTGCTGTCATACATACACACAGACGACCAGACGAAATTTTTTTTGCATTTTCGGACTCAGAATGATAGGAAACATAAAAAAAAGTTTTAAAAAATGGGGGTAAGAAAATGTTTTCGTCTTCACGAAGCCAATACTGAGGCCCCACCGGAAGGGACAATCTAATATCTAAAAAAAAACAATATAAAATGAAATACGTAGGTGAATGTGCGTATCTAATACAATTTATTTAACATAATATCTATTTAAATTATAAAACAGATAAAGAAAATATAACTTGAATTAAAATCTGTGTGTTTTTATCGTTTATCTTTCGACCCTTCAGAACATTTTTTTTTAATTGCCACTTTCACATTATAGATTTGTAGATAAGAAGAAAGATAAATTAATCCACGCGATTTTAAGTACATAGTAGTATACATGCGCGCCGATAGAATTATTTCAGGGAAGGGCTAAGGTAAAATTTGTGAATTTACCGTTTCTACATTTTTTATTTGTATGTTTGTTCACACATAAATAATACATTCATATAAATACAATTTTAAATTCGAGAGACGCTAAAATGGTGGTTCCCACGAAATTTTTTTTGCATTTTCGGACCCAGAATGATCGGAAACATGAAAAAAAGTTTTAAAAAATGGGGGTAAGAACATTTTTTCGTCTGCACGAATGCAATACTGAGGCACCATAGGAAGGGCCTCAGTAAAATCGAATAAACAATAGAGAGCAATCATAGGAGCAGTCTAAAACTGTTTGTATGTGAAAAGATATTCTACTTAAACTTCTAAATTTTGTAATAAAACATAGGTACAATTTTTTTTCTGAGTAATCTATTACCGTACTTCACTGAGTTTAGCGTATTTAAACAAACTGTACAAATTTTACTGAGCATATTATAGGTCTTTTCCTTTGCATCGAAAGTGTAGCACTAAGCTACGTCACTTCTGAAAATATCGTTCCATCCATACAATTTGTATATATGGAACGATATTTTCAGAATTGGTGTAGCCCAGTGCTACACTTTCGATGCAAAGGAAAAGACCTATTAACGCTTTGGGTCAAATTGATCCCAGTATGAAGTGTATCAGTGGCGTATATAAGGGGTGGGCCCGGGGGGCCCGGGCCTCCCCCGAACGAACGATTTTTTTTTACGTAGAATATAAAATTTTTACACTATTTTCTGCTTTTTTGCTTGTTTTTTGTGCCCAGCGCATAATGAATATGATAATATGCAGCTGCTTGACTGGAAATGACTATGAACGCGTCCTATTCGTAGTTTGACCAACGCCAACACTGACTCTAAACAAAAGCTTCGCGAGAATTATCAGGCTGAAAATGCAGAACAGTATTATAGAGTTTCACTATTTATTCCAATTATTGAAGACCTAATACGCTCACTTGGGGAACGTTTTTTAGGGCAGGAAGAAATAATCAAGTCTTTGTACACGTTAATCCCAGTTAATACAAAGACAAGTGAGTTTAAGCATTTATTGCCTGCAATTGAAAAATACTCTGATGATCTAAACACTAACAATGAATCAATGTTGCGTGCTGAATTCGATTTATGGCAGATGAAATGTGCCAGCTTTGAAAAACCAATAAGGACTGCTGTGGAGGCTCTACAAAAGTGTGCAGAAGATATGTTTCCGAAATTAAATAAATTATTAGTTATGTTAGCAGTACTGCCAGTAAGCACAGCTTCTTCAGAGAGGAGTTTCTCGACTCTCAAGAGATTAAAAACTTACTTAAGAAATAGAACAGGGGAAGATAGACTAGTAGGGCTTGCTTTAATGTCAGTACATCGAAACATTGAGATTAATATTGACGAAGTTGTAGATGACTTCGCGAAGAAAAATAGAAACCTTAATTTTTGAAGCAAGATATAACTTTGACAGTTGTATTCAATTTTAATTTCAGTTTTATTTTTAGTGTAACGTAATTTTTTTTAGTAGATATATACTAATATATAATTAAATGCAAATTTTTATTTTCGTATGCCCCCCACCCCCAAAGTAATTCCTATATACGCCACTGAAGTGTATTAATTAAAAGATCAATATATATCATCTTAGTAGTTAATTAAATTAATAAGAATCACCTTGTACGTTTTTGTACCAGAGAGATTTACTATATAGTCGAGGAATCACCAAATAATTATGATCCAGTGGCGGCTCGTAATTTAAAATTTTTTCTTTGGCATCATCCGTTTTAATGCGAATAAATTCAGATATATTTTTTTAATATTTTTGAGTCATAAAAAGATTGCTAAAGATAACATCACTTAGATGATTCGTTAACAGAATTGGTACATTACGCTCTACAAGCGCAGAAACTATTTTAATTCCAGCGTTTTTATTTTATCTGAAATTCTCAAACCCAATCTAAAAAAAACAAAAGTTTTACCTGTTGTTTTGATTAGATAATTTTTAGGAAGACAAACCTTAGAGCTTCGCACAATTATGCTCTTTTAGTGAAGCAATTCTTGATTAAATTTTTTCATTACAATATACAATAGCCACTATACCCATCCTGGGCTTTGCAAAGCCAAGATGAAAATATTGTGTTTTGATCCTATTTCGCCGGGTAGAACTGTTCATAATTTTATTTTTCTAATTTTGACATACAAAGGGACATTTCTTGTGATCTCAGCAAGTGTTAAAATGATCTACTTTATGCAACTGGTTGTATAAAATTAAACGTTATGTCGAGAAAAGAATCGTCATTCGTTTGTCGGATCGTGTATGGTCTCATCTTGTCTACAGCCCAAACTCCGACAGCCCCTCTTTGATTTTTGGTCTTTAGGTAGATTTTCTAACACATAACGGTTTTTGATCACGTACGAGCCATCATATTTTTGTAGTAGCTTTTTGCTTCTCCCATCAATAAACATATTCTTCTTTTAAAGCAACACAAAATCTCTAACTCCATACTCCACTTCTTTTCTCTTTGAGTCAAAAGGGAGTTTTTGCATTTTCTGAAATATCGCGAG